CAGTTGTGCCACTCGGGCAAGTGAGCCATGCACAACCACAATACAGGCCATCCTCGACTACAGCCGTTTCGTTTAGCGACCGGTCCAAGATTTGCAGGGGGGGAATGACACGATCGTTTTTCACAATTAGGACCGTTGTGCACCCCCATGGCCACGTGATCAAAATTCGGACCCTTGGCGATCGGCTCCTCCTAATGACAGTTGGCACGAGTCCCAGGATTACGTGCTCCCCTTTTGTGACCACCTCACAAGCCAAGTCGAGGGAGAATCCCCGATTCCCTTACCGACCGTGTGGCTAACTCAACCACGGCAGCGGTTCAATTCACTGATGTGGCAAGGAAGGTCGTAAAACGGGGCAGGACTCACTTTAACAAATGTCTCACTTAGCAACCAAAATGTTGGGCTGTATTGCGGTCATAAGCCGAGGAGGGCCTGTATCTCCTTCTTTCTCCTTTCTCGATTGTGGTGAGTTTAAAGTGAGTGGACTTCAACTCCCTGAATTCCCCAGCCAGCAGCCTAGGAGTTGAAGCTCACCCATCTTAAAAGTTGCTAAGGTTGAGAAACACGGCTCTAAGCAAGTGAGTTCCCATGACTTGCTGACCTGCAAGCCAACCTGGCCTCATCTTGGCTTAGTGTGTTGTGTGAAGGTGGCCGCTCTTTCTTGTTTAATAGAGTAGAATAGAAAATAGACTGGAATGGAATGGAATGGAATAGAATAGAACAACAGAACAGAACAGAACAGAATTCTTTATTGGCCAAGTGTGATTGGACACACAAGGAATTTGTCTTGGTGCAAATGCTCTCTGTATACATAAAAGAAAAGATACATTCGTCAGGAGTCAAGAATCATCAGGTACAACCCTTAATGATAGTCAAAAGGCACAATAAGCAATCAAATCATACTAGGAAACAGTCAATATAAATCGTAAGGATACAAGTGACAAAGTTAGTCATACAGTCACAGGTGGGAGGGAATGGCTGATAAGGAGTGATGAGAAGATGAATAGTAATAGTAGTGCAGACTTTGTAAATAGTTGGACAGTGTTGAGGGAATTATTTGTTTAGCAGAGTGATGGCGTTGGGGAAAAACTGTCCTTGTGTCTAGTTGTTCTGGTGTGCAGTGCTCTATAGTTTTGTTCTGAGGGTAAAAATTGAAACACTTTATGTCCGGGATGTGAGGGGTCCGTAGATACTTTCACAGCCCTCTTTTTAACTCATGCAGGATACAGGTCCTTGACTGAAAGCAGGTTGGTAGCAATTGTGTTTTAACCTGGCATCCTCGTGGTGCATGGAGACTGCAACTCTTCTCATTCTCCCCTCAGACGTGGAGCACACCGGGGCCACCAGCGAATTCTACGACAAATTTACAATCCGCTATCACATCAGCACCATCTTCAAAAGCTTGTGGCAGAACATAGCTCACCACGGGACCTTCATGGAAGAGTTCAAGTGAGTGTAATGCTGACATGTAAGCTTGTTCTTGGATTGGACAGGCCACTGGTCATGGAAGAGACCCTGGATGGACACCACATATCTGAGCTGTGGATGTACTGTATCTCTTAAGGAAGGACCAATAATTTTTAAACTGATGCAGTGGAAAAGTCAATATAAGATTGTTTTATAGCGATTGTACCAGACAAAGTTGGGTTGTTTTGGGTTTGTTTGTTTTTTTGGCATCCTAAGTGGCGCAGTGGTTAGAATGCAGTAGTTCAGGCTACTTCTGCTGACTTGACGGCTGCCTGCAATTTGGCAGTTCAAATCCCACCAGGCTCAAAGTTGACTCAGCCTTCCATCCTTCCGAGGTGGGTAAAACGAGGACTCCAAATCATCGGGGGGCAATATGCTGACTGTCAACTCATAAAATATTTCTATGGTCGTTTTAGAAGTTGCCAACAGAAAGGGAGGGGAAGAAAGGGATTTGAAAGAGCAGTGCGGCAGCTCGGAAATCAAAAGTGCATTCCATACATAGTTTTTCTGAGATAGTAACTGGGTGACTGAAGTTTCTGCCGTGGAAAATTGTAACTGGAGAACATGGTTGATGACTCTTGGCTATGGATGTGTCCCATTGGAGAATACGAATTATGATACACCCAGGGGATCTGGGGGGAAAACCAGGGTCAAGGATGACAATGAATGGTGTGTCTCAGAGTCAGCTACACCCAGGCAATGCCGGACATGTTAACTCCCAATAAATCCTTTTGAAGTTTTGGAAGTTTGGCTCGAGACTCACGATTTAATTGGGGGGAACTGCCGGAATCCTGACAACCGGTTGACTCTGTCAACCGCTTAAAGAGGGCTGTAAAGCACTGTGAAGCAGTATACAAGTGCTAAGTGCTATTGCTACAAGAGCCATGGTGGTGCAGCCCAACCACCTGGGTCCTCCTTTTGCCCACCTTGGAAGGATGGAAGGCCTAGCCAACCTTGAGGCAGCGAGGATTGAACTGCTGGCGGTCGGCAGAGTTAGCCATTCTGCTAAGTCTTGCATACTATTGCTATTGCTAAGCATTTTCCCAGCAGGATGGGAGTTGCGGGAGGCAAAACTGGATGCCAGGGAATTTCTTACTGCTCAGCAGGGATTGGAGGCCACGTTTCCCAGATCGATCTCACCATCACCACCATCTTCTTAGAGCTAAGAAATCCACCCAATTGTCTTTTCCCCCACCCCGCCCCTTCTCCTTTCCAGCTCCGGCAAGCAGTTTGTTCGCTATATCAATATGCTGATCAACGACACGACGTTCTTGCTGGACGAGAGTTTAGAGTCCCTCAAGCGCATCCACGAAGTGCAGGAGGAGATGAAGAACAAGGAGCAGTGGGATCTTCTCCCCAGGGTGAGCCACGGGGTCTCGGGGTTTTAGTGGTCCCCGGCTGGGGAATGCTCGGAGTGGAAGGCCACGGGGTTGAAAAGTGGCCTGGATGGAGAAACGCCAACCTAGTTCAAGTTCTCTGCTTCCAAGAAACTGGCCAGACGTGCTAGAATACCAATTAGAGGGTTGGGAGGAAATGATAGGTAGTCCTCGGCTTAATCATCATTCATTTAGTGACCATTGGAACAGCACTGAAAAAAGTGACTAGTGATCCAGTTTTCACATGACCGTTGCAGCATCCGCAATTCGAAAGCATGAATAGAATAGAAATAGAAATAATAGAAGAGAATAGAATTGAAATAGAATTGAAATATAAATAGAATAGAATTAGAATAGAATAGAAATAGAATAGAAATAGAAATTAGAATAGAATAGAATAGAATAGAATTAGAATTAGAATTAGAATTAGAATTAGAATTAAAATAGAATAGAATAGAATAGAATAGAAATAATAGAATTTAAATAGAATTAGAATAGAATTAGAATAGAATTAGAATAGAATTAGAATAGAATAGAATAACAGAGTTGGAAGGGACCTTGAAGGTCTTCTAGTCCAACCCCCTGCTTAGGCAGGAAACCCTGTACCATTTCAGACAAATGGCTATCCAATCTCTTGTTAAAAACTTCCACTGTTGGAGAATTTACAACCTCTGGACGCCAGTTGCTCCGCTGATTAATTGTTCTAACTGCCAGGAAGTTTCTACCTCAGTTGTACGTTCTTAGTTCAATTCTTCCTTATGGCCCGACCCTCGCAGCCGTACCTTGTTACCGGGTGGCTTACAGGTTATGATGATCACACAGGTTATAACTCTTTCCCTCTGTGGCTGTTCTCCTTCCTAGGATCAGCAACAAGCTCGGCAATCTCAGCTGGCCCAGGACGAGAGGGTCTCGCGCTCCTACCTGGCTCTGGCCACAGAAACTGTTGACATGTTTCACATCCTCACCAAACAAGTCCAGAAACCTTTCCTCAGGCCCGTGAGTATCAGGATTTGCTCCCAGATAATCTCCTGTGATGTCGTAGCCTTGGGGTTCTGAGCCCCCCAGCTCTTCTGGATCCCAGGCCAGGCATTTTTGACATGGGGAGAACTCTTCCGGGAGTTGCTTCTGGTTGTGGCCCTCGGATCGAGACCGTGGCGGGACTCAGCGGGCAAAGGACGGGGATGGGTTCGTGTGGCTGGTGTTATGGCCCGCCGGCGGCTGGTGGAGCTGGCAGCAGAGTTGGACAGTAGCTTGGAGGTTGGGAAGGAACCTGGGCCGGTTGTGGAGGCTGAGGAAGGGCCGGAGGCGGGCTCTGCATCAGAGGCAGGGATGCAGCCAGGGCAGACTGGCAGTCAGCAGCAGCCTTCGGGTTCGGACAGCAGCGAGGCGGGGGAGCTTCTGGAACCGGTTCCCAGCCTGCGCATGTGCAGGGCTACCAGAAGACCAGAACAATTGTGAGAGCAGGGTCGACTCAGGAGTAAGGACGCACCTCGGAGATGATTGGCCCCTCCCATAGGACATCAAAGAGGAGCGAATGGGATGTGAGCTTTTGCAGGAAGCAATTAATCCGTCCGGTCGGTCCAAGCTTTGAAAAGTTATTTTTGATTCTGTCAAGTTTGGCCTTGCCCTGCACTTGGCAGTTAGTTCTCCGGAAGTGTGATAGATAAGGTGGGTGTTTATCAACATTCCCCTGAAAGACTGTTTGTGAAGCCTGGCCGGCTGGGAATGAACATAATTCACAGCCGTGGAAATAAAAAGAGGTTGTGCCAGGACTAAGGTGGTGTTTTATGCTTTCTAAGGAAGCCTAGGTCAGAACAGTTGTCTCCTGGCCTGTTGTGTTGCTGCTTTTTCCCCATACCTACGCGCTGCGATTTCCCATTTCAGGAGCTTGGGCCACGGCTGGCTGCAATGCTGAACTTCAACCTTCAGCAGCTGTGTGGGCCTAAATGCCGCGACCTGAAAGTCGAAAACCCCGAGAAGTACGGCTTTGAACCAAAGAAGCTTCTGGATCAACTGACGGACATCTACTTGCAGCTCGATTGCGCCCGTTTTGCAAAAGCGATCGCGGACGACCAGGTGAGAGTGGCGGGAAGGTAAAAAGTGTAAAGACACTTTTACGATCCGGGTGGAGCTTCTTCCTCGTCTCTAAAAGTTTTGGAACTTGGAGAGTGGGCAGGATTCATGAAACCCTTTGCCGAAACTCAAAAAGGTTTCCGTAATATGCAGTCCTCGTTTTGTGACCATTTGCAATCGTAATGAAAAAATAATAATAACTTTATGATCAGTCCTCCCCTTTACGATCTTCGTAGGTCTGTAAATCAAAGGAAAGCTGAAGTTTGATCATGAGCGCAGTTGCGGTTTCACTTGATGGCCTCACTTAACGATCAAGTTGCCAGTCCCAATTGTGGTTGCTAATTGGGACAAAGGGTGTTGAAAACCCACCCAAGCCCTTTAGGCAGCTGAGCCAAAATCCTCTGGAGGATTAAAATTTGAAGCGAAACGAAATGATCAGCTTAGCTCTTTAGGACGGTGCTAAATTCCCTGGATCCTGGCTTGTTTTAAAATACCTTTTTCAGCTCTGTGATTTAACAATCCGAGCACAGGGCACTGAGGAAGAATAGTTTGGGGTTCGCTGAATCATTCCACGTGGGAAAACGATATAGCGGTTTCCCCAAAGGTGCCTTTTTTTTTTTTCCCAAGAGGCCACTGGACTTTTTGGTTTCTCTTTGAAGATGTTTCACTTCTCCTCCAAGAAGCTTCTTCGGCTCTGACTTGGATGGTGGGGAATAATGGAAGGATTTATACTCCTTGCAGACAGAGCTGGTCATTTGCATCCTTTTTAGAGAGCCGTTGAGGCCACTTGGAAGTTTATCTGCGTTCACCCTGAGGGAACCCTTCCTTTCCCCACCATCCAGTCATAGCTGAAGAAGCTTCTTTTAATGAGAAGCGAAACCTCCTCAAAGAAAAACAAAGTCCAGCGGCCTCTTGAAAAAGCACCTTTGAGACAACCATGACCTGAAGGACTGAGAATCTCCACAGACGGATAATAGCTGTTCCCATTTTCCAGCCTGAGGTGGTTTTCTTCTGCAATCATAACTTTTTCTCCAGGTTCCCCCACCTAATTACGGTCTTTTAGATATTATTGGTTTTGGACTGTGTGCGTGTTCTGAAATCAGCTTTAACTAACTAAATCAGTTAGTTAATACTTTTTAACTAAATCAGTCCTTCAAGAGTGTGTGCGATTCCGTTAAAAACTCCTCTCAAGTTTTTTGGGGGCCGGGCAGTTAGGTGTGGCTGGTACTTCATGAATATCCCACCCCAGATTCCTGCTTCTTTTCCTTGACTGGGGGGTGGATATGGGTGACCCTGTGCCGTACTCCATTGGTTATCACGGGATGTCTTTCGAAGAAGCCCAGGAGGGAAATATAATGTATTCCATTATTTGAGGGGCTGCCACAAAGAAGAGGGGGTCGACTTGTTTTCCAGAGCACCAGAGAGCAGGCCAAGAAACTTTTATCCAGGAAAGAAGCAACCTAGAATTGAGGACAATTAACCAGTGGAACTGCTTGCCTTCAGAAATCGTGGCTGCTCCATCACTGGAGGTTTTTAACAAGAGATTGGACAGTCACTTGTCTGAAATGGTAGAGAGTCTCTTTGTGCAGCGGGTTGGACTAGAAGACCTCCAAGGTCCCTTCCAACTCTCCTCTGATTGGATTGGAAACCATCCAATAATCGTGAAGAATCTCAAAGAACTCCCTCTTTTTTTTTTTCACTTCCTCCTGCGGGGCTTTGATTCACTGCACTGCAGATAAATCTGGATCACTTTTGGAAGATGTGATGGAGCCGAGAGCAGTCATGGGGCAGCTCAGGTTGATTTATTCCTTCCGTCAGCCGATATTAGAAGAGCAAATGAACTGAAGGTTGAATCCCTTTGGTTTCCTGAAACCTGGGTGGCGTGGATGTTTTGGCCACAGCATCTTCAAAAGCTGGCCAGGATTTTTCCCTTCCTCCTCCCGGTGGCTGGTGGATTTGCTGGATGCATTACAATTTAAGTGGGGCCCTTTCTGCAGCAATGCTGCATTTAGCTGGCCAGCTCCCAGCAAATTCTGACTTCGCCCTCCTGCAGACTGACCTAAGAAGAGAGCCAAAGATGATTCGGATAGTTTTGTCTACAGAAGAGCCGTCTGTGGAGTTAACTCCTTACAGGGAAGTCAGAATTGCTCAAACCAAGCTGTCTTTTTTTTTTTTTTTGAGAGGGATGGACTCTTTTTAACTGAATTCCTCCTGGCTGGCAGTTCTGCTACCAATAAATCTCCTTTAGCTGGTGTGTTTTTTTGTAGAATCCTAGAGAGATCTCTCTCTAGCGTGTGCTGAAATGCTGGCAAACAACTATGCCCTTCGTCCTGGGTGGGAGCACACAACTCCCCTCGGAAACAGCACATTCCTGGCCCTCAGGTTGATGCTGAATTATCAGAAACTAGAGTTGTTGCATGACGATTACACCAGTGAACATCCCCTTTGCATTCTCTCCAGACAGCAAATTAAACAAGAATGAAGTGGTTTACTTCAGCGGGGTAAAATAATCAAATCGGATGAGTGCCCTCAAGGCAGTGTGTCTTTCTGACTGTTCAGTATGGTCAAGAGTTCAGGTTTGTGGTTAGAAAGCAAGACAGCATCCAAAATTTAAAAAAAGGATCTGTTCTAGAATTGGCCTGCTTCTGAAAAAGCATCCCTGGATGAATTGCAGAGAAGTAAACCATTTTCAAGATCAACATAGCCAGTCAGTTAGGCTTGATACAGATATATTTAGTCAACTTAAAACAGCTAAATTTAACTAAAACCATTTTGATTTCCCTGGAACCAGATTTTTTTTTTTAAGAACAGTGTTTATATTTTATTGTATGTATTTGTAAACATTGTGCTAATTGTGTATGGTTTTCTCCTCAGTAGTTGCTCAATGAGGGGATTGATTTCTACTTGATGGTTCGTCTGGGGTTAATCCCTGTTTATCTGGATGCTGGCTGTTGGAAAGGAGCTGTTCCAAACTTTTGGTTTCCTTCTTAGCTTTTTTTAACTACCTCTTTGGAGCCGTGTGTAAATGTGGTTTATCTCATTGTGTCTGTTGATGGTGAATTGTCTGAATGCCAAATTTCCAGGAGTTTTTGGATTTATCTTAGTCTAGGACACTCACAGTTTCCCCTGTTGAAACCGTGGTTGAGTCTGTCCGTCATTGGGAGATTGAGTTGTCATCCTGCCTTCTGACGACTGAGTTGGTGTCCCATTGTTTGGCGGGCCTTCACGAGCCTTTGTGGTTGGCTTTGCAGAGGTCTTACAGCAAGGAGCTCTTTGAGGAGGTGATTTCGAAGATGAGGAAAGCCGGCATCAAGTCGACCATAGCGATAGAAAAATTCAAGCTGCTCGCAGAGAAAGTGGACGAAATCGTTGCCAAGAACGCCCGCGCCGAAATTGACTACAGTGACGCTCCGGATGAGTTCCGAGGTAAGTCGTGTCTTTGTCAGGATATAGTGATTGTCAACTCAAAAATATTTCCCTGTTTTATTTTAGAGTTGTCAGCAGAAAGGGAGTGGGGGAAAGCAGTGCATTCCTTAAATGCTTTCATAGATAATTGCTAGGCGGCCAAAGCTTCTGGCACGCAAGATTATTACTGGAGAGTACGATTGATGACTCTTGGCTATGGATGTGTCCCATTGGAGAATATACATCCAGGGGGTGGGGGGAAGACCAGGGTCAAGGGTGAAATGAATGCTGTGTCTCAGAGTCGGCTGCACCCAGGTGGCACTGGCAGGTTCACCCCTAATAAATGATTTTTTAAAACTTTGAGAGATGTGGCTGGAGACTCGTGATTTGAATAGGGGTGGATGCCGGGGCCCTGACAGCGATCTCATTTCCAATGTATAAAAGAAGGCAGTGTAATTTTTAACCAGTTGTTTAAATCAGCGCTCCCCCAACCTTTGGGGCACCAGGGACAGGTTCCATGGAGAGAGTTTTTACCACAGATTGGAGGGGATGTGATTTTGTGTGCTTCCTGCATCCTGCGGATGGACCTTGTTTACGCAGCCCGGTTTCTGGTATGCTGTAGCCCGGTGCCGGTCCACGAATCTGGTCTGGGGATCCTTGATTTAAACCCTGTGTGGGTGTGGCCCGGTTTATTTGTTGAGCTTCTTGACCTTTAAAACACAGTTGACCCATTGATTCTATCCCCTCAGATCCGCTCATGGATACCTTGATGAGCGACCCAGTCCGGTTGCCATCGGGAACCATCATGGATCGCTCCGTCATTCTGCGGCACCTTCTCAACTCTTCCACGGATCCCTTCAATCGCCAGACACTAACAGAAAATATGCTGGAGCCAGGTAATTGGGGGAGAATGGGGTTTTCAAACCCATAGTGCAATTTTGAAATCTTTTCACACCTTGGGGTATTCATCAAGCTTGTTTCCCCTCATGGAGCCCTCTCATGAACCAGCTTGATTACGTCACCAGCGCATGGGGGAGTGGTGTATGTGAATCTTTCCTCTCCCAGCACTGTGGTTTTTTTAATTCGTTCTTGGGAGCTTAAGGGTTCTGTTTGCTTGTGTTGTGGACTATTGGCCACCGGCTCCTCCAGCTGCCGAATCAGAGGGGGAGGAGGAGGTGTGGGAGTCAGGATCAGCATCAGCGCGACCTGGGAGCTCCGAGGGGGAAGAGGGAACACAGCTGACAGAGAGAGAGGCGGAGCCTAGGCCATCCGTCAGCCCTCAGGGGGAGAGTCAACAGCCCCCAAGCCTGGAGGTGGCTGATGAGGAAGAGGAGGAACAGCTGGGTCCAGTGCCTGACGGGCGGACGCGCAGAAGGCAGGGAGAGGAGAGCAGTGGAGATCTATGGGCTGGTCCTTGAGACGGAAGAGCCATTGCTGCTAGCGAAGCCCCACCCTAAGAGCTTCAAGGGGGAAGGGGGAATGCAGCTGGCAGAGAGCGAGACAGAGGCGGAGCCTGGGCCATCCGTCAGCCCTTAGATGGAGAGTCAATAACCCCCAGGTCCGGAGGTGGCTGATGAGGAAGAGGAGGAGGAACAGCCGGGCCCAGTGCCTGATGTGTGGATACGCAGAAGGCAGAGGAGAGGAGAGCAGTGGAAATCTATGGGCCGGTCCTTGGGACTGCTAGCGAAGCCCCACCCTAGTTCTGGGGATAAAAAGGCAGGGGGCAGAGATGAATAAGTGTAGCAGACAACTATTCCTCTTCCGGCTGGCTGGACTTGTTAGCCTGCAAGAGAAACGTTTTTGCCGGGGCTGCCGGTGTTCCTAATATAGGAATCTTTTGAGTTCACCTCAGAGCGTTTGTCGTGTTTGGGGATCTGGGTCGGAACAGCTTGTTCCAAAGAAACCCCATTGATCTCTAACACCCCCTTACCTCAACCCCCCCCCCCCCCGATTCTTTTTTAGTGCCTGAGCTGAAAGAGCAAATCCAAGCTTGGATGAGGGACAAGCAGCACCCAGATCACTGAGGCGACACCACCCCGGCAGCGCACGCCGAGGTCAACTGTGGAGAGCAAAGGCAGCGGATCAAGGCAAGGGGAATTGCCGAAACCATGTTGGAGCTGAGTTGGGGACTCACGCAGTGCCTGCCGCTGCCGCTGCTACCACAAGAGGACCGTTGGGACCTCCTGGGCGAGGCGAAAAGGGGAGAGAGAGAGGCGCCACACCGCCAAAACGCAGCTTAACTCTTGTACATAACTTTTAAGCGATACATCGGCAGTCGATAGCATTGTGGGTTGGGATTCAGTTAGCAAGTTCCCTCTTTTATTTTGTTGTTGTTGTTGTTCTGAGAAACGAAACTCCCCCATTTCATCGTTTGTGGGGGGGTGGGGTGGGGTTTCATCCATGGCCGAATTCAGTTTAGCCAACGACGCGGATCGGGTCGGCACAGCCTTCGGTGTGTGTGTGTGCGTGCGCGTGCGTGCGTGTTTTTCTTTTCTTTTTTTTTTTTTTTTAAACCAATATATTGCCAGATCTCCGTTAATTTGATAGTGGTTGGGACTTTGAACATTTTGCTGCTAAAGGTTAAACAAAAAACAAAAAAACCCACCCACCCCCACAAACCCTTTCATTTTCTCTTGTCGCCTCTGCCTGCACGATCCCGGTTTTCTGTTTATTTTTTATCGTTTCTCCTTAATGTGAAGAAAAACCTTTCCTGTCTATGGAAAAGATGACCCCTTTATGTCGTAAGGTGTCAGACATCATTTTGAAAAAAACCAAAAAAAAAACACGTGCCCGCGAGGATTATTGAAAAGGGGAGAGGAAGGGGAAGGGGGTCATATTTTCCTATAAGAAAGCTCTTTATTATTATTGTTATTTTTATTATTATTATTATTTAATTTGGTTAAGCCGCCCCCCCACCCCAAGAAAAGGCATTCACGATCCAAGTAGCAAATTTTATTCTCCCGCCTCCCCCTTTGTGTCGGCACGTTGAAATGTCACGATGTTTGACGTGTTCCTTTAATGTTTCGAGGAGAGATTTCATTCCCTATGTTGTTGTTGTTATAATTTTTTTTTTTTTAGGTTGGTTTTTCTTCAGAGCCTTGTATTATAGGTCGGAACAGCTGCCGCAAAAGGAATTGGAGTTGAATACGTAGAGATGGGGTGGGGTTTCATTGACTTATATATATGGTATTCAGCTTTGTTCGGGTATTTTCCCTCGTCATTGTAGTTGTGCTTTAAAAGCTACAACTTTACAAGCACAACTACAATGACGTGGGAAGATACCCGAACAAAGCTGAATACCATACATGTAAGTACCCGCGAAAACTTAAGAAAACATATCTATATCTATATATATATCTTTTAAAGCCAGAGATCTTACAAGGTAAACGGTAATGATTCTCTGTCTTTTAAAAGATGGTTTCTTGGAGAAGTGAGGGTTCAGGGTGTGTGTGGAAAGCAGATTGATTTATTCTCAGCGCCTCCGAGTCAAAGCCGACAGATCCATTTTTATGTTGCATACCAGTTTTATATCCATGGCTTGGCCTTACCAAAGCAAAAAGGGTGCAGAAAAAAAAAAATGTAGACTTGCTTTTTTTAAAAAAAGAAACTATATAAAAAAGATGAAACATTTTTGTATGACTGCCCTCTGCTTAAAAGATACTTGAATGTCCTTTTTGAAAAGGACTTGAAACCACAGTGTTTTAAAAACAAAAACGAAACTAATTAAGCCTGAAAAGAAAATGTTTTTTTTTCTTTTTTCCTTTTCTGCTGACAGTTTCCTCTGTTCAGTTCCTAATTCTTGAAGAACAATAAATGGTGATACACATTCACAAAAACCTTTTCTCTCTCCCCCCCGGCCCCCGTGGCTCCTTTATGTATTTTGGGTGAGCTTCTTTAAATCAAAATTACAAATATTTTGTACAAAGGACATGATTTTCATCCAAGGATTGGGTTGCTTGCTTGGAGTGCTGTGGCGGCCTAGAGGTGGAGCTCTCGCCTCACAATCAGGAAGCTGTGAGTTTGATCCTAGGTAGATTTCTCTCTCACTGGGCACAGAATATATCTGCAGAACAAAACTCCGCACTGGGGACAGGAAGGGCATCCGGCCAGTAAATACACTGCTAGCTTCATTCAGTTGCTGGGATTCCACCCCGCGAGGGATTATGAGGTCGCTAAAAGAAGGTGATGATTTGGTTCCTTGCTTATTATGGGGTGGGGGTGGGGTCTCAGTTTTTAAATGAGACACACCTACTGTAGCTATTGCTGCTTATTCAGGGGGAAAGTAATCAAACAAATCGGTGTTTATCGGCAATAAATCGAGAGTTGTGGCTTGTCATTAAATAGCAACTGGTTCTAAATATTTCATCTCTTAGATCAGGGGTCCCCAACTCCCAAGCAGTGGCCACTACCAGGCCACAGCCTATTCAGAACAATGCATGAGTGCAAATTTGCATGCGTGCAAATCTCTTGTGCGAGCAGCAACTATTTGCCCTTGCACACGGAACTTCCTTCCTGTGACCAGCAGCCATTTTGCACACACACACATGCCACTCACACAAATGGATGGCATGCCCTGCCTACCACTCAGGAGAAACTATTCACACACACACACACACACACACACACACACACACACACACCCCGGGCCTGGACAGACCACCAAGCCAGTTTGGGGACTGCTGTCTTAGGCCAAAATAGGTTTCTCTGAAGCGATAATCTGAGCCGGAAAAATAGCAATTTTTTTTTTTGCAGGATTCAGTCTGTGTCAGTCACCAAGATCAAAGGTTTTATTTCGTGCTGGACCCCATCATCAGAGAACTCCTCTCTCTCTTTCCAGAATATGCACTCTAAACCGTTTTATCTTCATTCGCAAGGGTGTTTTTGCTCAATAGGAGTTTGAAATGTTTGTCAGTCATGTAGAGCCGATGCTGTCCACCAACGGATCAGCTCTATCACTGGAGAAGTTGGAGCTATAATGTGTAATAAGCCAAAATTACATCATGAATTGAGCCCCATGGGTTAACAGCCCACAAATTTGAAAACTTTCTGCCAGCAAGTTAAATTGTTCTAGGCTGCATCCACATACTGACAGGATTAACCCATAGGGCTGCTGTTTAAAAAAAAAAAAACACAGTTTGTAGCTTAGCTTGTCTGGATCCTTCTATTTATTTAGCAAATGGCGTATTGTACATGAACTAGCAATGTGGACATTTCACCCAGATTAAGTAAAACACAAGACAATATAAATGTTTGAAAAGATCTATGTTCAAATATCAACGTCTAGGCTAGGTCTTTCAATCCTTGGAAGTACATCATAGTTTATGTTTTGTTTAACCAACTTTTACTTTACTCAATGTGTAAGTCAGCTCTCTATGGGGGAGGTTTTTGAAACCTTAAATAGGTATAATAACGAATAATGAAAAAAAGAACAGGATAAAAGAGGCATAGAAATTAAACCATTTTAAGACAAGTGGCTGCCACAAATCAATAGTGGGAATAAAATAGAGAGAAAAAATATTTAAAGATAGTCAACTCTAGCTTGAGGTTAGTATCCAAAACAAAACCCCTGAGGCTGTGTCAGCATTCCATAAAATCACAGTTCCCACTGGTCAGCAAGGCCATTAAGTGAGTTTTGCTCCTCTTTACAACCTTTTTTGGCCACTGCTATTGTGAATCATATGGTCATTATCTAAGTCCGAGTGCCCCCATTGACTTGGCTTGTCTGAAGTTTGCAAATTGTGATCTCATGACTTCAGTGCAACCTTCCTAAGTACATGCCAGTTGCCAAGTGCCTGCATTTGGATCACATGACCATAGGGATTGGGGATGCTGCAGTGGTTGTAAGTGTCATAAGTCCCTCTTTACAGTGACGCTGAAGCTTCAAATGATTAAATGAACGGTTGGAGAATATGAATGCGTGTATAGGATCATGCAAACATTCCACAAACGTTTGATTTTTCAACAGTAAATTTAAATTGGGATGAGGTATTTCCTGGGGGGGGGAACCCCCTCCCCCCATTTTCCTACAGATCCTGTCAATTGCACATTTGCAAGCTCTGATTTTAACGTATTTTTGGGTGTAATCTCAGCCCATAATAAAACCGGGATGAGGGACCAGAGTTCATGATGGTGACAATCCCTTCCGAAGGCAACTTTCTGCATTCAGACGCTCCTTGCGCGCTTGAAAAAAGCGGACCGGCGATGGTCGGCTTTAATTGACGCCGTTCTTTTTAATTGTAATATGTTGTCTTTTCTCTTCTTCGTCGCTTTCGTCACGGGTGGCGTTAATTGACCTGAATCAATTCCCAAAGCGCTCAGTCACTCAGCCTTCCCACAATCCTCAGCGCCTGTCAGAGAGAGAGAGAGAGAGAGAGAGACTGAATCAGAGGGAGGGGGGGGGAAAAAAAAAAAAAAGGTCGCGTCACTCCCCTTTTATACCCCGCTAAGTCAACTCGCCACCCTCGAATTGGTCCTTCCGCGCGAGGGGCCCACCGAGGCATTCCTACGCCGCCGGCTTAAAGAATCCCAAGGAGAAATCCTCGAGACTGAAGCGGGGTGGGTGGGGGGGGAAAGAGCGCATCCCCTTCGAGCGCTCATTGGCTGCCTTCGCGGGTCCCTGTCCCGTCCCTTTCATTGGATTGGCTGAGAGGCGCTCCGAGATTGACAGCGGAGGCGGTCCTTTGCGCTCACTGAAGCCTTTCCGTCATGGATGGACAAAGACGGCCGCCTATCGGCGAGGATGCCGGTGGCTGCGTTCGGGAGGTTGGACTCTGATTGGAGCGCCGCCGGAAGAAAGGGGCGGGGCCCGGAGCCGGTGGGAGGGGGAGAAGCGGCTCCGTCGCTTTCCCTTGTCAGTAGGAGCAGCGGCGGCGGTGCTGTCAGGCTGGTTCGCCGTCTGTGCGGGGCCTTCGCTCCTTCACGCCGTCCCGGGGGAGGGCAGCTCCGGAATGGGGCTCGGCAGCGGCTTCTTCCCCGCTACCTGCCTCGCCGGTCGTGACCGCCCGGGAAGCCGTTAGTTTTGACTGTTTTCGGCGCCGGTGTCGCTCCGCCCTTCACCGCACTGAGGTAAAAAAAAAAAAAAAAAAGGGTTTTAAAAAGGGGGGGGGGGGAGAGTACGCCCGAGCGCGTCACGTGACCCGAGGAGAAGGCGCCTCTGTTAGGGCGGGGCTCGCCCTCCTCCCTCTCAGCCACCTGCTCACCCACCTTCCCCAACCTGGCGCCCTCCGGGGCTGCAACGCCCCATCCTCCGGGGATGATGATGATGATGGCGGGGGGAGAATCGGGGTCCTAAAGGAACCGGGCCCGAAGTCCGATCCCTCCATTCTCAGCCACATCGCCTCCATGGACAAACGGAGGTGGCCTTGATGGAAGGAATCACCCGGGGAGGAATCACCCATCATGCTTCCTCCTTTATTTATCCCCCCCCTTTTTCCCCTCATCCCTCCTTTTGTTCCCCCCCCCTCGTCTCTTGAAAACCCCCCCCCCCCCCCGTCAGGAGGCCCCTCCCGAAGGAAAAGCAAATCAATTTTTTAAGAAAAATGAACAATGTCCACTTGGAGGAGAGAATGGAGGAGGAATAGGGTGGATTTTCCTCCCTGGCCTCTTCTGGAGCTGTGGGAGATGCTGCTGTGGGATTATGGGAGTTGTAGTCCAGGCTTCAGCCTAGCACCCCTCCCCTGTGTCAGATCTTGGAGCAAAACCCACAAGAATAAATAAACGGGGGTCCTCTTGCAGCATCTTTCATCTAGGGCAGGACACAAGTCAATACCAGAGGTGTGTGATTTATACATATATATATATTTGTATGGATGTATGTATATGTGGTCGATATGATTATTGTGATATAAAAGTCTGATCATAGTAATAATAGTAATCAAGCATCTTGAAAAGCTGCCTTTTATTTTACGAGTTCTACACCTAGGCATGAGAACGGAAAGAAATAGGTGTGTATCACAAAAATAGCTCTACTCCCAGGTAAGGTTTACATAGGAGCTCCCCTTGGGGTGCTTGTTTTGTCTGCTGGCCTTGTTGGCTTTGAGCAACCTGCAGTCGGCTGAAGCATTTTAGAGAGGTTAGCGTGCAGAAACTCTTAGGGATGTGGCACAGGGAAATTGGTGGAGGTATGACCCCCGGGGAGTATAAGCCATGAATGTAGCTGTATGCAAATTCCACAAAATTGGTGCATCTGCATTTACCACGTGTGCAGGCTTGCAAATGTTATAAATGCATTTGCATCTTAGTTCTTCACCTTTAGTCCCTTTCGAATAACAGGCTGCCTTGTGTTTATGGGTCAGTATTTGTGTGTGCTACACACACACACACACACACATTCATGCCCTACCAGCAATTCCCTTGCATAAGCTTTTTCCACTTTGATCGGTGTAGGAGGAGGAAGCCTGTTTTCTGAATTCTTTTTCTTTTCAAGGAGTCTGGTGTTTTATTTCCCCAACCGGTCAATTCCAGTCGTAGAGTCCTCACAGGGTTTTTTTTGTTTTTTTGGGGGGGGGGCTCCCCTTACCCACATTCCTTTTATCTACTTCTTGTTCCCCGTAGAGACTTTTCTGCAGCTAAGGCGAGATCTTGTGGCAGCCTGCCTTTTTTTTAAAAAAAAAATGTTGGCACAGGGAGCTTCCCAAACCAGTGAAATGGGACCCCCCCCTCCCCCTCTTGCTCCACCTCCCCTGAGTTTTGGTCAGAAGTTCCAAGTTTGGAAGTTTAAATGATGCACTCACTGATATGCTCAAATCAACATCTGTCAGTCAAACTGAGACTTTGGGGTTGGGGAATTAATGAGAAGTTCTTAATGAGTTTCCCGAATGGAGCCCACTGGGTCTTCTGTTTCCCCGGTGCTGAAGGCGCTGCTCTGGATTGGGCCCATCCCTCCTCCTGATCGATTATTCCCATCTTACATCTTTTCTCCTTGAGCCACAGTGCTGCGGCCTAAACTCCATGTCATCTCAGAAGCAGGGTGGGGTTTTGAGGCTGGGTTTTTGTTTTTTTTTCTCTCCTTTGCTTCAAGTTGACCGGTCTGACTTGAACCTGATTCCTTACAGTGATTTGTGGAGGGGAACTGCGGGAAGCTCTGGTCTCTTCCCTTTCTCCTCCCTCGCTTTTTGTTTAAAACTATTTCAGCCCTAAAGGTAGATGCTCTCCTGTTTGTTATGTGTCCTCCCTTCCTCTAGACAGTATCCAGCACAGCACAATTACAGAGGCAGCCATATTGGGATTATGATCTGACGGTCTTCCAGGAGCTCCGTCAGGGATAGGATGGCAGGAGGGTAAGAAAAGACCCGAGGAGCAGCTCTGTGAAAATGCTCCCTGGAATTTGTCAGACTTTTGTCACCCCTGGCTTGTCTTTTTACTCCCCACTGCCTGTTTGGTTTGTCGGGAATTGTACAGGGTGGGGTTTAGGGTCTCTCCCTCTAAGCTGTATGTTTGTTATATAGTCCTGGAATTAGATCTCTCCATTCGGATCCAAGCTATTTCAGCTTTCTTCGGCTTCTCCTCTTTTTATTATTTTCTCTGAGCCTTGCCAGGTTTCCTCCCTCAGAGCAGAATACTGTGAATCCCCCTCCCCCCATTTATTGTGTTTCTTTTGTGACTACAGTTACAGAAAGAGGAATGAAAGGTATTTTAAGCTGTTGTCGGGTACCTTTAGGAGTCAGTTCCATTAATTCCAGCTGGAATACCTTTTTAATAGATGCACCCTAGCTGGCTTTGTAACACTCTTGTTTCCATAGCAGTGTAAGCTTTACAAAAACATGGATTTTGTGATGGATGCCAAAACTGACAGCATTCGTATTACTGGCCATTGCTCCTTTCATTTATGCTGAAATAATTAGCAGCCTAATGCAATCCGATGGAAGGGCACTTCTGCTGTTCAAAGGACATCAAACTTCTAACAAGCCAGCTTCACAAAGAGATCCCTGTCTGCTTCTGTTATCGTCATTGTCCTGGTGCTGTTTTGGGACTCTTTCAAAAAGCACCCTTCCCCCATCTCCTTTCGGCCCCTTTCTTAGTCCCTTGCGTATTTGCTGGTGTGTGTGTGTGTGTGTGTGTGTGTGTGTGTGTGTATACTGTAAAAACCAGGCTTCCTGGACAGGCTCCCTTTTGTAGACCTTCCTTAGGATCCCTGCCTACAAGCCTGAGGTCATGCAGGGAGAGTTCACTTTCTCCATTCGCATGACCGCCTGACTCAGAGCAGCCCTCGATTAATCCAGGGAATCCACAGGTTATTTTAGGGACTGATTTTGGTTCGGAAATGCTCAGGCATTAGGGTTGCATGATACTGTGTCTCTTTAAATGTCCCAGTTAAGCAACTTACACAAATCCAGTCATTTGAATTGATTTGACAGGACAGTTGTAATCTGTCACCAGTTAATTCCACCATCATGTGTGTCTTTAGACATGTCTCAAAGATGTTTTTTTTTTCCCTTGAAAAGGCAAGTGGACTGTTTTTTTTTTTCCCTTGAGGAAGAAGAAGAAGGAAATATTTTCACTTGTCATCCAAGAAGCTTTATCAGTTCTGATGGCAGAAGAATGGAATAGAACTGATGAAGTTTCTTGAGTGAGAAGTGAAACATTTTATTCTTTCTCAAGGAAAAAACAATCCAGTTGCCCTTTTGAAGAAAAAAAAGCACCTTTGAGACAGCTATGACCTGGATGACAGAGAATCTCCACAGGCATTTGCCTTTAGACATGTTCGTATATTATTATTTTTGCTGTGTAACAAGTCTTCAGAATAGAGTTTCATGAACACCGTAATTATATGACTTCTTGAGAGAAAGCTTGTATTAGCCAATTATCTTGCTGATAGAGATTCTGGAACTGTCACCTGAAAATCTCTGGATCCCTAAAGTTTGTCCGTTAGCTATGGTTTAAAACAGAGAAAACCTACATTTCCTTCAAACTGGTTTTAACTTTTTTGGGTGGCACTTGAGCCAGAAGGAACCCCCTTAAACTTTAGGTGCAGCTAAGCTAGAAAGCATAATAATTTGGGGATATTTCAGCTAATTTCTGTTTATTTAAAGATGGGCGCGTGAGGGGAAAATGTGCCTGTTTTCACACTGTCGGAGAGAAACGTCTCGATCAGATAAAGCGTATTTGGTTAGCTTAGGGCTTAGATTCAAAACATTTTTTTGCCTAATTTGGGTTTTGGGGATGTATTTCTGTGATTCATTTTCTCGTTTTTGACTCAACACCTTCCCTAATTTTTTTCTTGAGAATGACCCTAAACTTGTATTTTCCAACTTCCAACTTTTATCTATAAGGGGGCTTCCATTTTGTTGAATTCTTTCCAGATATGACCTGATGATGGTGTTCTCATATTTGAGAAAGCTCTCAGGGGCTCCCCTATTCCTAGTTCACTTTACCCACACCTCTTTTTGCATGCATCACCCACAAAGGGTGGCAGCCAGATTTCTTGCAGCTTAATTTACATGAAGCTTATTTACATGGAGGGAGAAAGGTTGTCTTTTCTACCTGGAGGTTTTTAGACTATTCTGTGGAACAGAGTTGAATTCCCACCAACAGCATGCGCGAAACGATAAATCCCAACTAAACCCGAAGAGCCACTTATGTCCTGATTGGTACAAGGACTCCACAAATTCTCACAATCTTAGATCCTTGAGTTTGGACCAAAGGCTGGAAAAGAAACAAATAAAGAAAAACTAGGTTTCTCCTTCTCCACCTGGTTTACTAACATAATTATTACTGTATGCGGAGATCTAGGTATACAGATGTAAAGAAGTCTTATTCCAGCATAGTATCAAGAAAGTAGTCTTAATAGTTGAGGGCTAAAGCAAGGGGCAAAGTATAGTGCGTTATATAATGGCGTTATAGCTGTGAAATGGTCCAGTATTGCCAAAACCGCTTTTCCTAACCTGGTTACCTTCCAGAGTAAAGGTTCTCAATCTTTCATATTTTAAATCGCTTGCTTTGACCAAGAATCTTGGTTCTGCTCTTAATACCCTCCACATTCTTTTATAGGCATTTTAGTATTATAATTATCATTTCTGCTAAGACTTCCATGTTTAGCTAAAGCTTCAGTGGCTAATTTGGCATCCCATCTAGACTGCTGTTGAGAACTGCTGGATTTGGGCTGCTTTGGCAGCTGCAGAAACGTGACATGTGTTCTTGAGTAGGTGACGGGGAGCCTGGCCGTGCTACGTAGCAGCGGTTCACAGCTCCTGTTAGCCCGAGGACCACGCCAGGCTTTGGCCCGTAGAGAGCCCCATGCCAAAAATGGGTGGGGAGGAACTTCAGGCATTTTAAGAGATGGAGGAGGCCTTAAATGGCTGCAAAGCTTAAAGCTCTGCTTTCTGTGCCTTAATCTTGCTTTTTAAGAGCATCCGTAAGTACTGTGTGCTGTCTGCATCGAGAGCATACATATTGAAACGCGGGACGGCAGCAGGCTTCCTGTATACATTCTGGAATATTTGATATTGTAAGGCAACCGGCTGGGCTCTTTTTTTCTGGCCTGTCCCCCCAAAATCAACAATAAATAAGCACCTGTAAGTCTTCCAGTGTTGTTTTGGGGATATATTGGGATATGTATGCTTTGAAAAATAAACACCTCAGTGCTTATTTTTTCATGAAAGGAGTAAAGGAGTAGAACTTAAAAGATATTGATCATGCCTGTTAACTAAAAAGATACAGACCGTATCAGTCAACACAATGGACAAAATAAAGCCAGTGTTATTTTACTGTATGCTATTTTAAGCCTCTATTTGCTTTTTTATCTGATACCACATCAGCTGTTTTGAAATGCCTTGGGAAGACATTTTCATTTGCCCACACATATATTCTGTTTTCTCTTCCAGCTAAAATGCCTTTTTTACCTTTGTGAAGAGAGAATGTAATGGTTTAGTTTGATTTTCTGCAGCACGGTTGTTTACTGCAGGATACAGGAATGTCCAAGGAGAAAGACTAACATAAAATCCAGGAGTGTTGCATAGGCTTTTTGTCTTCTTTTTTTTTTTTTTAGAACAAATGTGTTGGATTCTTTTTATACTTGCCACTCATACCAATTAAATGAACAAGCTGTACAGAAAATGGGTATCTTTTTAAAGCTGACTGAGTCATGAGTGATATCACTCATCAAAACTCTGTTTTGCCCCCCCCCCCTTTTCTCAGCTTGGTAAAGGAGCAGTGTGAATAATCTCACTGTTTTACATGCCGAGGAAAATGTTATTTGTGTGGTAGGTTATAATAAATGGCTGTTTATCTGATGTGTATTTGAAAATCACTTTTCTTTTCTTTTACAAGCTAACACTACAAGAAACCCCGGAAGTCCTTGAAACCTAATTTCTGGAGTGCACACAAGAGACTATCAAAATGTCAGGAGCTTCTGTAAAAGTAGCTGTTCGGGTCAGACCTTTTAATTCCCGAGAGACCAGCAAAGAGTCCAAATGCATCATCCAAATGCAAGGAAATTCAACCAGTAAGTCAAGCTTAATTTTCTCATAAAACGGTCTTTCCTTTCTGGGACTCAATAAATGGTTGGTATTGCATATAGATAATGTCACTGACAATTATTCAAAACAACTGTTTCTTTCTTTTGTTTTTTTTCGTAGCAGTCTTGTATTTTCCTATTTGTGTGTGTGTGTGTGTGTGTGTGTGTGTGTGTGTTGCTCTGGAAGGATTACATCTTACCTGGCAGTATTTTTACTGATGTGTAATCATCTAGAAATGAGTGGGAAACAATTACACATGCTTTAGGGACTTCCTTCTCATTAGCAAAGCTACTGGACCATCTTGTGCAAGTTCCTTTTTGGAAGTAGCAGGATGATGCGCGCAGGAGGTATTCTGGGGAACAAGATTTGCTGGCCTGGGCATTTTTGATGCTATTTTGTAGCTTGTAAGCCCAGCATTCAGGATTTCCTTCTGTTCTTTTTTGCCATCTGCCGGTTGAAAACTTAGGGTTGATGTGGCCTTGTAGGTCAGAAATAGGAAATCTATGTCACTGTAGACGTATTTTTTTTAAAAAAAAAATCTCTCAGGAAAGCTAGAGGAAGTGTGTTCCCAACCAATAGCTTAGCTTTCACATTCTTTAAGGATGAACAATGTTTGGTTCTCCAGATGTTTCCAAACTACAACTGGTAAGATCTTTGGCCATTTACTACACTGACAAGAACAATAGAAAATTGTAATTTATCCAGATTCCTCTGTTTTATTCATATAATGGCCACTATAGTGAGAGACAGTCCACTATCCTAACCAGAAGTTGGTTTTACAGTCAAACTGCTTTTAATATCAGGATGTTTCCAATCATGTTTATTATAATTTAGTCCTACGTTTGGTCTGACAGAGAAAAAAAAAATCTTTGACATCTTCAATATCATAGAAGTCTCTAAGAGTGTCCAGCCCAGGTTTTCTCTTCTCTAAGTCTGTAGCTTTCTTCACGGAATTGTTGTTGTTGTATTACAAGTGGCTCTCCTTGTTTTCTCCTATCCTTCAAGATTTCTGTGCTGATTTCGTATCAGATACTTCCTTCCTCCTAAAAGGTTTTAAAGTTGGGGCTCTCGATGTCAGCATAGTCTCTCGGTAGTGAGAATGCAAGGAACAAAGTTTAAAAAGAAAAAGAACAGAGCCACATTTTTTTTAGCTGAGAAAAGCTTCCTTTGCATCTTTCTCTCTGATCTGTTTTCCTGTTTTTATCGGTAGCGTTTTTTTTCTGGATGTCTCCAGACAGACAAAGGGGAAACCGAAATGGCAGGTGGTTGGACTTATTTGGATCATTAATAACTGTGGGAAAATAGCCTCAGAGACCTCCTTAAGACTTGCAGTCGGGAGTCTCTTGAGTGTGTTGTTAGGTGGGAAATATGCCAGGAATGTACAGAAAGAGCGCGTTCCAGAAAAAAGGACTCAGAAACGCAAATGGTGGACAGGAAAATAGGAGAGTTTGCAGGGATGTTTGAGCCATCTTCACAGGCTCCATTTATGGCTTTGAAGACTCTCTTAAAGCAAAAGCTTTTGTGATGTTCTCACCGAGTGGAATTGGGTGGGATGACATAGAATGCATGCTTTAAATGATGTTTGGATAAGAACTTTTAAAATCATTTGGATGTGAACGCTCTCAGGTCCCTAAATAAATCAGGCCAAGAATGCAGGGCAGAAGAGAATTCTAGTGAAAGATTGCTAGGTTATTAGCAAATGGAAAAGCAGGAGTCGCTTGATTTAATCTTGCACACTTATGCAGATGCCTGACAGCAGGCTTGGATGAATGGCGGCTTTTCCAGGCTCCTCAAGAGTTTGGCAATATATTGGCCACGGGATAACATTCATCGGGATTCTCCATCTTAAAACTATAGCGAGCATTGATTTTGAACAGGAAAGAAAATTGCCTCTTCTGACAAATAACCTTGGATTTAGCCGGTTGGGAGTTGTCATGATTTTTCTTTGTCCTGTTTGGGGTGGGGTGGGGTGGAGAGAAAAACTTGAAAGAACTCATCCGTACAACATCTGGCCACCGATTGATCCATCCTTTGAAACTTGCAGAGGATATTGAGGTGCTTACCTGCTGTAATTTTTCCCCGCGCATGACAGTCGTCTTCTTTTCATCTGATTTTTTTTGTTTTGTTATTACAGTGGAATCCTGCAGTCCAGATGAAATCACATGTTCTGACTGCATTAGGAAACTGGTATATTGGCACCAAGCCTAGTCTGCTTGTGGGGCACTCAGAGCTGATTGCAGATGTTACGCAGTTAAAAGATGCTGCTGGGGGATTTTAGAGGTGACGAGTGGGAGTGAGGTGGGGATTATCTGTAGGAGAGAGTCGGCCGTAGGATTGTAAAACTGATTTTGGAGCTGCCTGTTTGCAAGTTTATTCAAGCCACAATATACAAAAGATGTTGAGATTCTAGAAGAAGTGCAGAGAAGAGAAACAAAGATTATTAGGGGACTGGAGGCTAAAACATATGAAGAATGGTTGCAGGAACTGGGCATGTCTATAGTTTAATGAAAAGAAGGACTAGGGGTGACATGACAGCAGGGTTCCAATATCTGAGGGGCTGCCCCAAAGAAGAGCGAGCCAAGCTATTCTCCAAAGCACCTGAAGGCAGGACAAGAGGCAATGGATGGAAACTAACCAAGGAGAGAAGCAACCTGGAACTAAGGAGGAATTTTCTAATGGTGAGACAAATCAGCCAGTGGAACAGCTGGCCTCCAGAAGTTGTGGGTGCTCCATCACTGGAGGTTTCTAAGAAGAGATTGGGCAACCATTTGCCTGAAATGCTATAGGGTTGTTCTGACCCACGCCCTTTTCCGACAAATCAAACACAATTCAAAAAGAACGGAAGCTTTGTAGTGCTTTTACAAAACAATTAGCTGTGATAAGCACAATCTGTACGAGACTTGTCAAAAGATAACAGACAAGAAATAATTTGCAAAGTAAGAATCTTCAAATACAAACTCAGGATACTGGAATGTCCACGAGGCTGGAGTTTCAAAATGTCTTTGCCTTCTGCAAAGTATGTTCATTTCACAGCTGGCTTTAATCTTGATGAAGGAGGGGCCATTACCTTGCAGCCTTACTCCCGAGTTGCCCGTGCTGTTGTAGCTGCTCTTTCCTGCGAGCAGCCCTGCGCGCACGCGCACTTGGCACAGGCTCCTCGGGAACCTCCTCATTGCTTCTGCCAGCCCCCAAATCTCTGAAGGCAGCAATCCACTCCCTGATGGTCCTGGCCCCTCATCCGAGTCCTCGCTCTCTTCAGCCGTCCCCACCTGCTGCCAGCTAACCACAACAAGGGTCTCCTGCTTGAGCAATGGGTTGGACTAGAAGACCTCCAATGTCCCTTCCAACTGTTATTCTGTTAAGGGGCGTTTTCCTCCTTTGCTATCCCCTGAAACATTTGAAAAACCCAATCCATTGAGAAAAGCAAATAAGAGCCATATCTGGGAACCATTTTCAGTTGCCTTGATGGGGCAGGATGCTCTTCGGAGCGACTTTTTGTCTTCTGCTTCCGAGTTGTGATACCAGCTTGACTTAAACCAACTTGTGATTGCAATGCAGGGTGAGAGTATTTTTTTTTTACCCCCTCCAGATTTCTGGAGGCTGTTCTTTGTTGCAATAAACTGTAATTTGATGGTATGCTTGAACCAGCACTTTTGCAGTGAGTCCCTTCACCAATGCACATAAGTTGTTGGGCCTTTTTCGTCTTCAGCCAGTATGTATTTTTTGTCCCCAGTTGCGAGTCCCTTGTCTCTGCCCGTCTTGTTCAGTTAGGATCCAGAGGTACTTTTTGTTCTGTTCTTAAAGGCAGAAGACTCTGCACTTTAGATCTGATGTCACCTCTACCTTTTTCCAGTCAATATCTTCTATTGGGAAGAGGATTGCATCTTTGAAATAGCAATTTAGAAGAGAGCTCTGGAATACAGGATCCTTTTACGACATCATTCTGGTGATTCAGCTCCCAGCTCTTTAATAATACACGCGCACACAAAAAAAAAACAAGTCCAGCCAATTGGAAAGGAATGTTATTCAGTCATATGACAGCAACTGAAATGCCACAATTATGCTTCCACTCCCAAGCAATTTGGCTGTGTGTTTCAAAATGAGATAGAAAGGTTTGCCTCAAATCCAGCCGTTGGAAGGAATGGCTATTCCCCAGAAACCCAGTTCAATTGAAACATTCAGTTAATGTCTGTATAAATTACAAAATATTTTCTGAGGTCAAGGAACACAGTGTGACTCTTCACTTTTCTTTCTAATTGCTGTTGATTGCTTTCCATGCTGATAATTAGTTGGAGCCTTCATTAATGGGTTCTTTTTAAAAGTTCCATTTGTCCAAATCGCTGATGAAGCTTTGAGCGCAAGTATTCTCAACCCTGTGCCTCAAACCCTGTCATCCTTTTAAAGCTGCAATGAATGGAATTCAATTTATGAATCTCATTTGCTTTTTTTTTTTTTTAAAGGTTTCAAAAATTCCCTCTCTCTGTTTTATATAGTAGAAACTTTTTCTATATCTTGCCTTCATGACTACTGAATTAACTTGAACAAGTTAAAGCAACGCGGCTGGAGTGTGCCTTCCCCCTCTATCTCTTGAAACAAACCATGTCTTGAAGGACGTAGTTGCTGCTTTGAACAGATCGTGGGTTTTGCGGGGAAGTCTAGCAGATAACTTGAGCTCGAGAAATCTTTGTGATCTCAATTCTTCCATGGATTTTAATATATTTCATTTATAATATATTTGTATATTTGTAATTCATTTAATTCATGGATATATTTAATATCCATGAATTTAAGAGAAGTCATTGGTAAATGCCACCTCAAATGAAAAGGGCTCTGTATAACTTTTTGTTCCTTTGTTTCTCTGAAACCTTACTAATGGGAGCAGATAAAATACCCACATGGACCTGATACAAAGCAGCTTGCTGTCTTAAGGACATTGTGTGTGTGCGCATGCTGCAGATTAAAATGGCTATCTGGCAATCAGCCTTAC